CGAAATCCATATAATTCCTTGTGGCAGTGTTGAACTGCATACTGTCCTTGGCACCTATCATCTGTTGCATTTCAATTAAAATGTTACATGTTCTGTTAACCATTTAACTCTGCTAACGATTATGCGAGCCTCTTAACAGTGTTGTTTAAGACATTTATGACATACATTAGAAACTCGTCTTTACTCAAAATGGCACTGCTCTCCTTGTCATTCTCATAAATCATCATGCTTAAGTAAGGCCGTCTAACGGATTTTAACAGTTGTCGTGTGGCCAGATTTCGGCAAGGAAAACAGCTGTTGAATTTTTGCCACACTTCGGTCACACAGTATAAAAAAAAACTCGTTGCACACAACAGCAAAACACGCAACAAAAATTTATATTAATTCGATTTAACACAAAACGCATTACAATTCAAACCAAACAATAACAGCCAGCGAAGTGCCTCAATTGGCCGAACGTGTGCAAACCATGTGCAGTGCAATAAGCAATAGAAAATGTTTAATTTAAGCAACACACACATCTAAAAAAATATATTTTTTCGTAAGTGTCGCAGAATTTACTAGTTGCTGTGTGTGCGTGCCCCACTCATGTGTGTCGCGTGTGTGTGTGTGCATGAGTACGTGCGTGTGTGCCTGTGTGAATGTAAACGTGTGTGAGTGACTTTGACTGCAGTTTACGAACGATTTATTTGTTGATTAAAATGTAATATAAATGTACTCTAATTAAATGTGGTAAAGGCAACAGCCGCGCCAATCACAACACAACAACAACAAATTTTGCTGCTATACAACACTGCATTAAGAAAAGAGAAACAAAAAAAAAAAAGAATAGCAGCATGTCGCGTCGTTGTGTGTGTGTCGTCGTCGTCTCGTCACAGTCTGTCAGTGTATGTGTGTGTTCATTAGTGTTTGTGTTAAATAATGTTTAAATATTTTTGTAATTCGCACAAACTTTTAAATGTTGCAGTTCAAGAAAAGGTGAGTTATGTCATGTAAATGAATATAAACAAAAGCCTGACCAAGTCAAAAGTTCGTCAACAGTCGACCCCCTCCCCTCCCCCCACTAAAACACATATATTCTCTGCCTCTCTAGTTAGCACTCTCTCTCTCTATTGCTGCTACTCTCTCGCTCCCAATTTCGCTCAGTTTAGGCAAGCGCTCTCTCTCTCTCTCTCTCTCTCTCTCTCTCTCTCTCTCTCTCTCTCTTAATTTCATTGCGCTTTGTTTTTAAGTGTCATTTTTGTAATTGGCTTCTTTTTTCCATTTTTTTTTTTAAATTTTAATTTGCTATGCGCGATTCGCGCGCTTATTGTGAATGCGCAAACACACACAAACTAACGTCAAATGTCAGACAGGCCGCTCTCGCTCTTATTTGCTAACTCTCCCTTGCGCGCTCTATCTCACGACAGTGGCAATGTTGTGTTTTACATATGTGTGTGTGTGTGAGTTTGATTTGTTTTTGTATAATTTACTTTTTACCTATAACAAACAGCCTTAAGCTTATATTTTAAGCACGTAACCTAACACATTTGCCTATTCTTCGTCAATGTTTTTTGTTAGCTTCATCTTTTTTAGATTTGATTAGATGTGCCATACTCACAAACACACACACACACAGGCAAATCGTATTCTGATAAGATTTTAATTGTTTGAAACGGACATGCCAATAATAAATGCTGATATGAGAGCCTAGAATGCTATTAGCTCGACTTTTACATGAGAGAAAATGTTAAATCTGAAATTCATCTTTGCAGAGAAGATCGATGAGTGAAAACAGTATAATTTCATAATTAATCGAAAATCGATATTCATTATTTCTTACTTAAATAAAATTTCCACACAATTTTGTAAATGTTTCTCAATAATTAATAAAATTTGCCAAATTATGTGAGACTAAAAATCAAACTTAGTTTTTAAAATAATAACAAACTAATCGTTTCGCGGGTGTAATTTGGAGATGCCCTAAGACCTTGAACACAAGTGTCTTTCGTTTATTTATTTGTATTTGCTCAAGCAAGAAACTTATTTCAAAACAATAAACAGCCAAAGAGAAGTGACGGCAATAACACACAAATAAACAAACAAACAAAAAGTATAACAGAGCGAACATTAATTGTTGATTTTCGCACGGTTTCAAATTCCAATGCATTGGCAACACTAGCGCTTACTAGCAACACAAAACACAGATACGCACGCACACACTCGTGTCCACAAACAGACACACACACGTACGCAGTCAATAGCTAGCAAAAGTAACAACAAACAACAGGCAAAAATGTCAGGCGTACTCTCTTTCTCTTATTTTGACGTTGTAGTCCACTCTCAAGCATTCATTCACAATTTTACTGTAACAGCCGACTGAAAGAGCGCACAAAATGGAATGCGCATACATATATAAATGAAGCAAACATATGTTGTACTTACACACATTGCAAAGCAAGATATTTATTGTAATTCAATAATGTAAATGAGAAACGAACTTTACTTACTGTGTGATCATTGTTACCCGTTTACAGTTTATGTTAAAATTTAAGTTAAATTGCACTCTCTCGAATTTTATGCGTTCGTTTCTGTTTCTCTCACTTAAGGCAAATTTAACAGAGCGCGAGCGCCACCCGTTAACAGTTGCCTAACATACACAATTTGAGTCAACATGCTCTCTCTCTCTCACGCAACAGAGCATAACAGACCCGGTTAGCAGTTGGCGCCAGTGTAAGCAGATTTTTATTAACAGTAACAGAACGTCGTCGCGCCGGATAAGATGTAAAAGCGAATAGCGAAAATCGTAAAATTTTTTCCATCTACACGCGCCCGTCGAACCAATCGCCATGCTAAATAAATAATAAAATATATATATTTATATTTATATATAAAGAAAATTATTACAAATAAGTGGTGTGTAGCAATTGTAAAACAAGTGCAATAAGTGAAGAGTTCATGCAAAGCAAATAGCAAATAAAAGCAAAATCAAATGCAAATGCAAATGCAAAAGCAAAAGCAAATATAATACGTAAGTTGTGTTTGTTAATTATTTATGACAAAAGCAACAACAAAATGAAACAACGCGTCACAATTGCCTTCTTCGTAGCGTCGTCGTCGTCGTTGTCGTTGTCGCAAGTAGAGCAACGCCGCGTTACCGTCGCCTGCCGCCCCTTTTGACCAACACACATAAACACACACACATACATATACATATATATATATATAAATGGGAATTATTTTTATTATTACCTCTCTCGTTCTCGCCAACTCTTGCGATCTGTGGCGCCTGCAAATGCTATGCAAATTAATAGAAACAACAACAATAATTAATGAAATCAATAGCAGCCGTCTCAGCCGCCACAACAGCATAAAATAAAAATTTCGCTTTCGCATAGGCAGCAACAACAGAAAAACGGTACAGAAAAAGTGAAATGCGCATTGACTTCAAAGCTAAATTTGTTGTTGTAAATTTTTCAAACGGCACTTGGCGCTCAATCGCGGGCTCTCTCGCTCGCGCGTAACGGAACTAACGCTAAGGTACTCGTGATATTGTTGTTTTTGTTGTTTGGCAGCGACAAGCACAAAGCAAACGCCAAAAAAAAAAAAACGGTTATGCGTGCGTTGCCCTTTGGGCTGCCTATGCCTATAACAACAACTGTTCGTATCATAATGAATGAAATACTACAAAAACAACTGTGCATAGACAATTCTCTGCATTCGCACATACACACACACACATGTTAATATGTATATACGCATGCCTAGCTGCTCATACATAATTACAAAATTATTATGTTATTTGTCTTGTGGCTCATCTGCCATGTTTATGTTCTTAGTATGTATTTTGTGTGTGTACATATATCTTTCTTGATTTTTATTTAACACCTGCTTTTTTCCATCAGCGCAAGCCGCGCACTCAAATAAAGTCGCAGCTGCTCTAACAAAAACGTTGGCAACACACCCCATGTCTATCATACCATGTGGTTGGCAACTCTGCTTGTGCCTCATGCAAATGCAATTGCGATCAACAGCTGAACGAACAGCTAGACGTATAGAAATGCAAGCGGAAAAATAACATCCTCGAGCGTGTGTGTATTGTTGTTGTAGTCTCGCTTGCAGAGGTTGACAACGATAGTTGGCAACACTGTTGCGTATATTAATATACTTAACAGCTGTTGAGAGAGTAAAAGAGTGAGAGAACGAGCGCGCAAGAGTGTAGAGATCAAATTTGAGAGCGTTTATTGTCCTTGGGTATTCGAGTAGTTGTTGTTGTTTTTTTTTTCCTCAGTTGGGTTTGACGAACTTTTAGGCATTTGGTCACACCACTCTATGATTTTCAATAATTTGCAATCTTTAAATAATCAATTTAAATTTACAGCCCTAAAAAAAATTAAATTAAAAAAAAAAAAAAACGAAAAACAAAAAATAAAATAAAAAACGAAAAACAAAAAATAAAAAAAAGCGCCTCAACAAAAAGCAATACTTAAATAAATAAAGGGAATTATATTACATACCAACATAAATTGAAAAGAATGATATAAAACAAAGCAAAAAATATGCAAATTTGTAGCCATTAGCTTTAACAAAATAATAAGCAAACGAACGCATAACATTTATGAGCAGAAAAATTCATAAAGCCTATACAAGTACGCCTTCCAATAGTTATATATACACATTATATACCGTTATTTATACACACAATATGCATGCATTATATAGAAGATGATTATTATAAGGAATATGATGATGATAATGAAAATGACGATGCAAAACGGAAGTCGTCTTAATTAGTTGATAAAAAGTGCGTTAATTCGAACGATGCAATCAAATCTTTAAATATTAGCATATTAAATCATATATATATATTACTTATAAATATATATATAGATATTTGCATACATATATTTCTAACAACGAATACACTTAGTAATTAATGAAAATTAAAAAAATTGATCAGCTTGCTTTAAAAAAAAAAATAAATAAATAAATAAAAATCCATGCAATTACTTTAGCAAATTTACTTTAAACGTAAAACCAAAATTTATCAAAAATACACAAAAACAAAAGAAACCATTTGAAAAAAAAACAGTGCAAATTCTAAAAAGTTTAAAGTAAGAAGAAGAAAAAATACACATTTTTTATATGCGCCCCAAGTGCTTAAACTTCAACAACAACAACAACAACAAACGAAAATACCCAATAACAACCATGTAAAACATACAACCATAACCTCAATCAATACAGCAAATCGAGCAATATTACGGATAACAAATCATATAATAAATACAAAATATAAAATTTATTAAACTTAATTGTTAAATGTTAACTAAAGAAGAACACCAACAAAATCAACGCCAGCAACCTGCCAGGAACAAAAACACCAACAACAACACCAACAACTCATGCGGTACCCAAAATCCCAAAAAACAACTAGAGAAGAAGAAGCAGCTGCAGCAGCAACAACAACAACAACAACAACAGCAACAAATCAACAACAACGACAAGCTAATGAGAGCAACGCCTCTCAAGAAATTCTCAGGAGTTGCTGTTGCGCCAATTGCATTAACATTGGATTAGTCACCCTTCAAATAATTCCCAAAGATAAAAACCCCATAAACCAAATTTGAGGCACTCATGTAAAGTCATTCGAATGTGAATGGGGAACGACACCAACCAACCAACTCCACCAACACCTACTCCACCACCACCACCAGCAGCAACAACAACAACAACATCGACATCGACAGTAACGGGACATGGATATACATATGAAAAAATTAACTAAACCACGGTGAGTAAACTATTATCAATTCATTAATTCGTAATATACCCCTCAGAATTTACCTATCCAATTTGAACTGGTTAGAACTTTGGAAATTCTAATAAGATTCCAAACAACTTACATATATTCTTATGGGTTTCATATGCATATCTCTCTAAATCGTCAAATGCAAATGAATTGTGACCGGAAAGTAACGGGATTTCTTTTTCGCAATTCTCTTTATGCATTCTATTCTGAGCAAACAGTGGGTAGATTTTTTAGCAACAGAACAAATTTTGTGTACCATAGCACAATTATTGAAGGAAAGTCTATATTTTAAAATCAATAGAGAAATATATAAACAATGTCGAAATGAAGCTTTAGAAAAATATTATCAAATAAATATATTTTATTTCTAACTAATCTTTGAGCTAATATGGAATTTTGATGTTGATACTAATATTTGTACAACAATTTGTATGCACATTTCGTTTAGATTTGTTGACTTTTATGAAATGTTTCATAATAGATCCATGAGTGTTAAAAGCGGCTGTTTTCATAGGATCGTTTGTCTATTGTAATTGAAGCAAATAACATTTTGCCAATGCAACGTTCAATCTACGCCTAACCTCAATACGGTTGAGTTGGAGCAATACAAAATTGAAAGACATACATATGCATGTATGTATGTATATTGAATATAAAAATATATACATATATAGACAGATGTATATGTATATATTATGCATTTGCTATATCGTTGCTCATTCAATATGAATGTGAAGCCAAGCTGCTGGTGCCCCAATGCCACATTATACACACTCACACATACATATGTACATGTGTAAATATGTATACATATGTATATAAGCTGCGGAAATTCACAGACATATTCTCGTCCAAGTTCCACAACTAAAAACTTTTCTCATTTCTGTGGCAACCCTTTTTATACACATACACATGCATACATATATATATATATATATATGTGTGTATGTATGTTTGTATAAATATACTTTTCTTCTATTTTGTCTTTTTTTTTCTACTGTCAATGAGCTGCGGCGACCACTAAAATGTATAATTGAAAATTGTACGCCCACATTACGACTTGAAATGCATAGACAATATAAGAGATTGAGACGAAGGCAGGGTGTGAGGGTGGGTGTGTGTGTGTGTGTGTGTCTGGGGGGGGGGGTTGAGGAGGGAGATAGCACCAAAAATGGTCCCCAGTTGCTTTTAGCGCCAGGCAATAAACAGAGCGCAAGCAACAGCCGCACTATGCAAGATAACAGCTAGGAAAAGAGAGACAGAGAGAGAGAGAGAGAGCGATAGATAATGAGAGAGAGACATAGCGTAAAAGAGTGCTGCCAAGTTTGCGGTTTTATTATGCCCCTCTCTCCATTTAATGCCCACCTTGACCAAAGTAGAAAAATCTAAAAGTTTTTTTCTTAAGCTTTTTTTCATGCTTAAATACATATACACAGCTTATACTTATACATATGTATATAAATATGTATGTCTGTATATATATGTATATATATTTTGCCGGCGTCGCCACGCACTGTTTCGCCTGCTGTTTTTTGCTCTGCTTGTGCTTCTTCTTCTTCTTCTTGAAGCATTGTGTGCACTTTTCGCTGCAATTTGTCGAAAAGTTTTTACTGTGCGCGTAAAGTTTAACCATAACAGATTTCTTTTGCCGTCTATTTCTTGAGGGCCAAGACGAAGAGGAGCAAGAAAAATAAAATAATATATATATATATATATATATAGCTTGAGCAACTTCTCAATTTGGCTCACTGCCTGCCACGCCTCCACATATACACGCCCTTCTGTGGGCAGTTAACAAACGCATAAAACAGCTTAACTAATTTGACAAACTAAAAAAGTTTTATTGGATAAATATTTGGGGATTATACTTTTATCTAGTTCATCTGTAATTCTTTTTTAGATAAATATTTATAAATTTATTTAGTCAATTTTAATATTATTTTTCAGTTAGCTTCAGTTTTGTTCTTGGCATTTAATGGTTGCGAGTTAATTAATCAATCAATTTGAGTCAAGCCAAGAACAAGCTCTGCATTTTAATTGCAAAGGGCAAGAGATCAAAGCAAGATTTTGTATGTTAATAGGGTCAAGAGTTAGGCTTAAGAGACATGGGTTGTAACAAAGTATTTAGCTACAGTGATAACTGTGTTGAGTGAACAACGAAGTTGGGCGGAAAAATAAATGAAATAATATTCAAATATTGGAATTTGTAAGAAGTAGGGATAATTCAACTAAAAAGGAATATACAAATTTTAAATAAAAAATAAATAATTAAAATTACAATTAAATATTTAAAAAAAAAAAAAAAAACATTTGAGCTAAATAAAAAATAAATAAAAATAAAAATAATAAATAAAATTTAAAATTTAAATTTAAAAAAAAAAAAAAAAAAAAAAAAACCCAAAACCAAATATCTAATATCATTTTAAAATTTAAATTATAAAAAAAAACACACACACACAAATACCTACTAAAATTAAAAAAAAAAAAAAAAAAAAAAAAAAAAACCTAACAAATTTGAAATCAAATAAATCAGTTGAATGTCAATTAATATTTAATTGAATATAGAACTCAAACACACGCTCAGCCGAAAATATGCTGATAAAATTTTAATTTGTATAAAATTGAAATTTTAATGTGTGTCTAAAGCGCTCGCGAGTTTTTAGCCGCAATCTCCATTTCAGCATGCTGAGCCACAGGGCTCCGGTGCTTTTAGCCCTTGTCAAGTACTGCCCTACGACACACACACACACACACACAAACACACACATACACAGACAGACAGCTGCACGCGACTGCAAGTTTCTGGTTTTTGTGGCTTTTGCGCTTCTCACTTCACAACTGTCGCTCTCTCTCCCTTTCTCTCTCTCGTTCGCTGGCTTTTGGCATTGGCTAAAAGCGAATTTCTTTCGTTGAATTATTTAAATTTGTCGGTGTTTGGCTGTGTGTGAGTGTGTGTGTGTGTGTATGTGTGTGTGTGTTTCTGTATGTGTGTGTGTGTGTAAGTCAGTTATGAATAGCTAAGTGAGTGCAAGTGCTAGCTGCAAGCAGCCTTTTCATTTTCATTATACGCAGTCCCTTAAGGGATCTTCGCTTGGTAGCTGATGTGAATGGTACTGGTGGAGTGGGTAGTGAGGAGGGTGGGGGAGGGGAGCGATGGGTAAGGGTTACCGCAAATGGAGAGTGTCATATGATAAGCTGAACTATGCAGAATTTTAATTGTATTTCGCACAGCTTGCATCAAACCTAATTTGATTGTTAAACTATTTGAAAATTTTAACTGGAGAACAATTATACGAGATGTTATTTATTAACTTTATTGGGATGCATATATTAATTGTGCTAAATAAATTGAATTCTATGATATTTCATTATGTTATTCTTTAAACAGATACTTAATATAACATAAAAATCATTGCGTTAAAAATGCTATAATTATATTATATTATAAGATTTACATATGAGCTAATTTATATTTTTATAAATCATGTGTAATTATATTTTATACATATTTATATAAAATATATTTGCTTTTCTTTGCTAAAGCTTTGTATGTATGTTTGAATTCTAGAATATGCCGTATGATTTTAATTTTAATGTGCAATTCGATTTTTTTTAGACTATAATATTTTTTATGATATAAACAAATTTCAAATGGAGGAATATCAATTGAGTTTTTTTTATTTATATGGCTATCATGAAAGTAAATACATAAAAGAAATAAAACTAAATACTAATAAATTACTTAAGAAATATATTTTGCTTAATTATTGTTTAATTTGTAAACAATTATTAATTGTGTTAATTATTTAAATAGTAGCAGTAACTTACTTTAATCATTAAACCAATTTATTTAAATTTTTATTATTTCATTAATAAATTAATTAAATTTTTATTACCAAAATATTATTGAATTTATGTTTCTATACATTTCGTAACGTAAATAGTATTAAATAAATTGAGCCATTAAAGTCCAACAACAATAAATAAAGCCCTCATACTCGATCTCTATTCCCAGCATTTGCTGCTAATAATAAAAGTTACCCCAAAAAAAAAAAAAAAAAAAAAAAAAAAAAAAACCTGGCAAAACAAATGTCTAATTGTCGCAGTGAATTGAATGGCCTGCCCATATCATACACACGCGCCCCAAGCGCCACAATCGTTTGTCAAGGGCACACATAAAACAATTTGGCAGCACAACGAAAGGAATACTGCCTGTTCTCCCTCGCTCTCCATAGTGACACCGTCTCTCTCTCTCTCTCTCTCTCTCTCTCTTTTTGGCACTCTATGTCTGCCCCCAGTCGCTGTTTCGCTTGCCTGCATCCCTCGAGTGGCGGCAAAACATCTGTCATGACGGTTTGTCCTTTCACCAAATCCTTTTTCGCACAAAAATCAAAATAATAAAGAATGAAGTAGAATTAAGCCAGCTGAGAGAGTGTGCTCGTTTATCAGATACCCTGTAGGCGTAGCTAAAGCTTAGCCTGGCAGGCTAGAATAGATTAAATAATGGCGGGAATTTATTTATAAAATAAAAAGCCAAAATTTGTATAAATTATTATTTTTATTAAAATTATAATTAATTAATTAAAAATTATAAAATTATAATTAATTAATAAATAGTGGCGGGAAATGATGTAGAAAATAATTAATATATATATATATATATATTTAATATATATATATAATTAATATATATATAATATATATATATATATAGTAGTCAACCCCACCCTATCCTTCACTCAACTATTTATAAGGTATTAAGAGCAAATCTTTTCTTCATTCGCTGTTGCACGCTTTGCAATTTTATAAGGTATGAAAATTACATATGCCCCGCTGAACAAACACACACACACACGCACGTACGCAGTCATACCTACTCACAAAGCGACAGCCTAGTGTATCCTGGTATCCTTCTCGTATCCTGAAGCGAAGTCATAAAACTTGCACCCCAACCAGAGCTTTGCAGTGGTTCCGTAACGCTC